AAATAAATAAATAAATAAATAAAATAAAATAAAATATCCTCACAGCCCATCAGTATATTTCTATTAAAGAAATGAATGCTATGTTAAAAACTAAATATAGAACAAACACACCTATGCATAAACTGTCTGAAACTGTCAACATTAAGTAGTGTGCTGGGAGAAAGTAAAACATGAAGAAGGACCACTCCTTTCATTGCATCAGTCTGTGCTATTTAAAATTCTCCAACAAGCATTGCTATGATCCAAAAGTTTGTACTGTTCAAAATCCTCAGGATGAAATCTAATCCCTAGTGTTTTGGTGTAAAAAGGTGGGGCCTTTGGGAGCATGTTGTACCTTCACAACCTTGGTAGTGTCCTTATAAATGAAGCCTCCAGGATTGCCTCCTCCTCCCACTATATGAGAACACAGTAAAAAGATGTTATCACTGAGGAACATGTACTTGCCATTAGTACCCTATCTAGGATTTTCCTGCCTCAAGAACTGAGGCACACATTTCTGCTGTTCAAAAATTATCCAGTCAAAGGGTTTTTTTCGTTTTGTTTTTGTTTTGTCTTTTTGAGGCTGGGTCTCACTATGCAGCTCAGGCTGGCCTTGAGCTCACTCTGTAGCCCAGGCTGGTCTCAAACTCTGAACTCAACAACCCTCCTGCCTCAACCTCTCAAGTGCTGGAATTACAGGCGTGTACCATCATGCCCAGCCTTAAGGTATTTTTTTAAACAGTAGTCTAAACAGGGTAAGAAAGCATGGATTCATATATCACTAATAACTTTCAAATTTTAAAGCTTACTGTTACAATTTTTGCTACCACCATAATAACTTATAGATTAAATAGTTTTGAAACTTCATAATCACTAACAGTTCAGAGAAGTGGTACTCCAGTGAGGTCCTAGGCCAGCTGCCTCATCACACAGGAGCTCCTTAGAAATGCAAACTCCCCAAATCTAGAAAATCAGAAATTCTGAGGATAGTGCCCAGAAATCTCTTTTTTAAAAAGCCCATGGGCAAAGCTTATAAGGCTAGGTAAACTGAGAACCACAGGGCTAGAGAATAATTTATAATAATCAAGTTTCAATTTTCCCCCTCATAATCCTAAGGAGCTACGTAAAACAGGCACGCACGCATGCAATCACGCACACATAAACAGTAACCTACTTATCAAATCACGTTTGAGCCCAATTTAACAAACATTAACAGAATGCCTTTAAAATTACACTACTGTAGCACTTTTTCGGTACACACTAAAATACTTCAGTAAAGAGAAGGAAAGGAGGTATCTTAAAACCATCAGAGAATCCCAGCTCCTTCAAAGGAATTAAAGTACTCTGCCACAGCCTGAGCCCCAGAACAGACTTCCTACTATGGGGAAGGAACTGTAACTCCAGCACATTATGAAATACCTTCAAGCTAGTAACATCCTCTTAATGGTGTATACAGCACATGTGGCTAGAATGTCATTTACATAAAATTAAAAAGTGTTAGCATTTACGGATACCTGTTTGGTGATCGTCTTGGCCAACGTCTTCTGTTAGATTCTGTAAGAAATATCTTCATTATTACCAAGAATCACACACTAGACAACCAAGTTAAAATTCATGATTTTCAAAAGCAACTGATACCCACAATTTAATTGTTTTTATGAAATGCACTTACATAAAACGATTAAGCAGTTGGTAGTTTTATCTTTCAAAAGATTGACTTACTAGCTTATTAAGGGTGTGGTAGATCTTATGAATATTTGCCAGTGTTGAGAGATGAGAGTTCAGCTGAAAGTCTTTAAAATAAAAGAGAAAATTCAGTGTCATTTACTTCCAAATCAGAAAATCTTTTTTTTTTTTTTTTTTTTTTTTTTTTTTTTTTTTTTTTTTTTTGGCGGTACCAGGGATTGAACTCAGGACCCTGTGCTTGCCAGACAAGCGCTTATTCTTCTGAACTATGTCCCCGGCTCTGAGAATCTTTTTATGAAAAGCTCAAAAGTGAGCTGAGATACCTCAATTTGAAACTTGCAAATTAAAAAAAAAAGCTACTATTGATTTATTTCTTAGAAACAAAGACTGACAAAATGAAATTTCCACTAAATGTTAAAAGTTCATAAAATTTTCATGTGAATTCTAAGATGAAATGGAAATATATTAGTAGCTGTAAAATGCTGCCAGCAGTGAACCTGAACTTAATAGAAAGATATAAATAATGTTAGCAAATGCAACAAGCCACACATATACAAGATGTACTCAACTGAAATATGTTCACTTTCCCCTCTCCTTCCCCAGAATTTCTGGTACAATAAGCAAGGAAGAAAATGAGGGCAATGTAACCAACATTCAGTATTTCTTACAATATACGTATCCTGCAGTCGATCAGACAGCACAGTGAGCAAAACCAGAATTGCTGCCCCTCCTCTCATTAAGCAAACAGATAAATCAAAGCACTGTCCCCAGGCACCAAGTCCTGGAGGCCAGGGGCCAGCGACAGTCCGTGGTTGCTGCAGTACTGAAGCGTGCCACAGAAATCACACGCCCGAGGAAAGAGCCCTGAACAAGGAGTTCATCAAGGCCTCATCTCTGCCAATTTCAGAATTGCAAATGACGTCACACCCAGAAGATAGATGGAGTCCCATCTGAGCATTCTCCATGACGTGAAACTCTAAGTTGTTAGGTTTTTACATTTCTCCTGTCAAGTTTTTTTTTATATACTTACATAAATAACATCCAGCTTTACAAATATGAATTGAGAGTTTATGAATAATTTCAAATTCTGGGGATCAAAGCCAGGGCCTATGCATACTAGACAAGCACTGTACCACTGACCTACATCTATCCCCAGTCCAATTTTATATTTAAAGTATTTTCATAAAATATCAGGATTTAGATTAGTATTAAAAAGGTTAGTATAAGGGCCGGGGAGATGGCTCAGTAGAACAAGCGCTTCCCTGGCAAGCGTAAGGGCCTGAGATCAATCCCCAGTTCCACAAAAAAACAAACAAACAAAAAGAACAGTTTAGTATGAAAGTGACCTTGAAAATATAATTCTCCAAGTTATACCATTCTCATAGAAAAAAAAAGTCAACTTTCACTGGAATATTTTATTTGGAATCTATATCATATGCAAAGAACAGACCCGAAGATCACATGTTCCCAAGTGAGTTGTCTGTGCTGAGACTGGACTCTCTGGACTGCTGCTCTGAGTCTGGAAAGCAAATTGGCATCCCAGCAACTAATTAGAAAGGTTCGCTTTCATTTTTACAATTTACTGGGAATCCAGGTGTGGGCAGGCCTCTAGGGCAGAGGGCCTTTTGGGAAAAGGGCCTAAGGCAACAGAACTCCCAACAGTCCCATGTACGCAGCAGGAGCAGCAGCCATATTTGTGCAAGTACCTATACAGAGCACTGATGTGGCCAGGTACAGCCACTGTCTAGAATAAACCAAAAAACCACTCTTTCTGACTAGATGACAGCCAAATCAAGGCCACAGTGCTCTGATACAGGCACATGGTCACTGTTTGGCATCTGAATAGTCTAGCATGCTTAAGATTAATGACATAAGGTGGAAAAGAATCTACAGCTTCCACCTTAATTAGTACAACTGTACAAAACTGTTCAGAGAAACATTTGGAACGTGTATATGTATGTATAAGTCTGTACTTATTTAATAAACACAGAGGGGATCTTTAAACCCAGAAGCCAGTCTTCTGACCTACAAAAGGCTGTGAAGAGCTGAATTAGCCAACTCTTGCATTTCCTTCATAGGTTAGATACTGAGCCATTTCTCCCTTTATCTCCCTACTCTTTCAATTTACGAATGAGAAGAGAAATTCCATTTGAAATGTAAATTAAGCTCTTGCCCCCCCATCACAACCCCAAACTGAGACAACTTGAGGCCTCCTCTTCTCACTGATGTCACACAACAGGAGGATAGAAAGGGGCTTGGAAAAGGCCATAACCACAGGGAGGCTCCTCTGACCCCTACCACCATGCTTTTGTCAACCATCCCACTGTTACTTCAACTGGTATAATTCAAACAATCCAACACAAACTAAAGTTTTAAATCTTTGTTCCTCCTTTATGTGAACACAAAAGTGGACAAGGTAAGAACCACAAGTTGCACTCAATCTGAAATTGTAGGACCTGGGTGAGCTGGCCCATACCACACCATTCTGCCCATAGCCCTCCCTGCTCCCAACAGAGTTGAGGACACGTATGTGTGAACACACCCACACTCCCTCAGTTCCTGCCCAAAATACCACTTTGCTTCTACAACTTGACCTTGAATCTCAGCTGCTTTGAATCTCTGATCTACCAGTTATTCAACCTAAATCTTCATTTCTTTACCTGTAAAATAGACTATGAAATTGTCCTTCACACTGTTATCATAAGGGCAAAAATAATCAGATCCCCATTATAACAACTAGAACGCAATAAAATGCTCAACAAAAGCTATCAATTACTAGTGATTTTGCTTATGAGCTCCTCCACACTATACAGCCTCTAAAATAATTTTTACTTTGCTTAGGTTAGAACAGGCCCTTTACCAAAAACCCCAAAGTCAGAGTTCCCTGTGACTGAGGCACGTGGCCTGCTGCATCTCAATAGTTGATCACAGCACTGCTATATTTATATACCAACTGATGTTAATAATAATGATGCATCAAGTTACTAAATTGCTCAGGACGGCTCAAACTTGTGATTGGCCTGCCCCAGCCTCCCACACTGTTGTTATTTCAGGGCATATCGATTCCAAAGGATAAGTACCAGGTTAGGTCAGCTGTACCATGATCCCATGCCTTTCCACAGGAAAGTAGTGATACTCCTCTGTATCATCATGACCAGAAGTTTTACTTCAGTGATGCCAACAAAAGTGAAAAGATAATCCCAGCACTCTGGAAGGCTGAGGCAAGAGAAGCACAAATTCAAGCTTTGCCTGGACAACTTAGCAACTCAGCAATACCTGCCTCAAAACAAAATGAGAAGGCCCTAGGTTCAATTCCCACTATCACCTTCCTTAAACAAAGTAAAATAAAAATGTTACTTCACAATTCACTTCATATGTCAACAACTATCAATTTCCATATCCAATCCCTACTACCACTTCCCCTCCATCATCACTTCATTGAAGAAAAGGACAAAAGAAAATGAAACCAATAACCTGAATAATCTTTCTGCAGTTTCACCAACACAAGAAGTTAAAAGTGCCAGGTGTGGCAGCACTCGCCTATAATCCCAGCACTTGGAAGACTGATACAGAAGATCTCTGGAATTTCAAGGCCATCTAGAGCTTCACAACCTGAAGTACACAGCCAGCCTCTATCTCAAACCAAACCCCACCCCATAAAAAAAAAAAAAAAGTTAAGGAGAAAACATGAATTTAAGGGAAAAAAAAACTATTAAAAAATAAATTCACAAAGGTTAACACACTGGACTTCTGTTCAGTGTTAAGGGCAAATAAAAGACCCTGAAATCTAAAATATTTCACATTTTTAAGGCATAGATGTTAGGAGTAAAGACCAGTTGCTTTATATAGAATGTGTTTGGGGAAGTACTAACTGATGGATACAAACCTGCTCACGTATGGATTCCAAAGGATAAGTACCAGGTTAGGTCAGCTGTACCCATGATCCCATGCTTTTCCGCAGGAAAGGAGTGACTGAGTCTGACTACCCTGTAACAGGCATTCCTCTGTACTCCACATTAAAAGCAACAACTGGGGCGGCCAGGGAGATGGCTCAGTAGAATAAGTGCTTCCCAGGCAAGCGCAAAGACCTGAGTTCAATCCCCAGTTCTGCTAAAAAAATTAAAAATAAAATGGACCTGGGGATTTAGCTTAGTTTAAAGGCCCTGGGTCCAATGAAAAAAAAAAAAAAAAAAAAAAAAGCAAAGCAACAACTGGCTTTGCAAACAGACACAAGACTGTTTGATAAACAGCCTGCCTAACTCTGGGTATCCTTAAAAGAATACCAAATGCGCACAAAATTGTCTAGTTTCACTTTAATCACTACTTACTGTGACCGGTACACTATAAAGGAAAAACCGAGCACCACCAAGGAGGTACAGGCTCTTTCCCTAGCCATCTTGGCGCTACAGCTCACTCTATACAGTTTCAAAACTTCTACAAATGAAACAATTACAGTTCAGTTCAGTTCAGACAATGGCTGCTAACCAAATAAATCAAATTTACAAGGGCCAAGCACTAAACATACGAGCAAAAGCTCTTAAAGAGTCATTTGTACAATATAACTGGGAAAGGATCTCAACTACAACTACAACAAAAAGCCGTAATACATAGAGGAATAAACTTCAATGTACAAGGGAGAAATACAATAATAAAAATTTACTGAAAAACATAAGTGTAAAAACTCTATTCCTGGAATTGGAAGACTTGACACTGTAAAGCAATATCCTTTTGCTAAATGACAAATTAAATACAACCCAAGTCATATTCTGTTTGGTTTGTAAGGAGATCTTCAATCCCCCCCCAAAACAGGAAAACCAGGCAACCTTGGCAGGCTGCCTACAGGTCATGTAAAACAGCATGTTAGACATGCCAAGAAATTGCTGAAAGAAAAGTGAGGGAGAATTTACTCTTCCAGATATCAATATACAGTATAAAGCAGAAGTTGATAAATTCTCTTTAAAAGGCCAGATTGTATGTATTCTAGGCTTTTGGACCTCTGTAATCTCTGCTAGAACTGCTCACCCACTGTAATTCAAAAGCAGCCATAAAAAATACATAAACATATGAGCATGGCTGCTTTCCAGTTAAAAGTAGCAAAACTAGGTGG